CCTTGCTAATATCAACTCTGATCGTGCTGTCTTCACCAGATCCACTCGTAGATTGTTGCATGCTGTAAACATGAATGTGAAAGACATTGTTTTTTCCAGATTTCTACAAATAAGGTAATCAATTGAGCCAGCAACAATAACGGCAACCAACGAATGAACTGGAAACAATGGCTTCTGCCTCCTAAACATGTTCATTTCCATGAATTCCAAAACTTATAAACAGTATTATTTAATTAATATCTGAAAACAACTAAAACACTGAAACCACATATCAAAGCAACGTATGAAACCATTACAATGGAGTGGGTGAACTGACCTGGTGGTAAAATCTTCTGAAACAAACAAAACGACTAATTTTAGAAACAACGGAAACAAAAGTGAGGTGAAAAGCAACATTTGTGGACAATGTGCATCAAGATAAGTTGTGAATAACTGCAGGATAAGCGTAAAAACCAATGTGTAAACGAACGGTTAGGGAACTGCAATCCAACATGGGCGAAAATGACCTTCAGCTGTCTTGCTCCACCAGTTGCCTTGGATGTGACGGACAAGTTCAGTCGTCCTACTCTTGTGTTCACTTCGAACGCCTCGCTGAGTTTTTCCATTGTGGATAACCTGACACGTGGCACTGTCATACAGCCAGCTGTTAAATGAGGTTGATAAAGACTTGGTCACTACAGTTTCCAAATTACTTCTCGGTCAACGTTGTCTGGTGAAGGCACTTCGAAGTAGGGGTAGTGGTTTGACTGTCATTCTATGGTTTGTTCCATGATAAAGATGTGTAGAGATTCATTATAATCAGCACATGATTTGCCTTTCCTGAATCCAGCTAGTTCCCGTGGGCGGAGTTCTGTATCCAGTGTCTCCTTTATACTCTCCAGGATGACGCGACTTAGTATTTCACTTGGCGTGGACAAGAGCATTATTTCACGCCAGCCACTTCTTGCACAGGCCCAGATCGCCCTTCTTCGGCAGCTTGACGAGCTAGCCAGCCTTTCTTCCAATCTGTAGGTACCTTTCCTTCTTTCAGAATCTTTTGCAGTAATGTCATGGGCACACATTTGTCACTTTCTCGGTTCGTTTTCAGTGCTTCCGGACTTCGGAAGCTTGATCGCATTTAGGATTTCTGATTTATTTGGAGGAGTAGAGTCCACTGGCCCAATTCTTATTCTTGCTTTCATCGAGAGAAGATACATGGGTTGACTGGCTTCCCGAAGGCTTTCACCAGCCAGCGTCATTTCGCCTCTCCTAATCCAGCGACGAATAAGATTGTTAATTGCATTTTTCGTATAATTCGTTATTCTAATTACACTGGCTAGTACTACTTAGCCGTTGTGGTCTCAGTGTGCTTTTATTCATACTCAGGATTTCAAGTTGCTAGATCAGCAATAAGCATCAAATTATGGATCTGTGGCAATTCTAAAATAACTAATATTCGTCTCGTTGTCTAAATTTAGGTTGTTGTATCGATGCAACATTACTGATACTATTCCTCTTCTGTTGCGTGATCCTGCCTACAAGCCATAGTTATAATTTAATGCAGGATTACTCTTTAATTCAAACACTTAGCCAATTCAGTTTTCTTTTTCTTTTTCTCTGGTATTATATGCCTTAAACTTTTCACTTTCAAGGTCCTCTTCATCGAATGCAATGATTTGAAGTCTCCTTTACCTACAGCTTTTCTTCAGTTTTCAGTGTACTAAAATTTATCCTTTTTCTTCCTATTAGTCTTCTCTACCTCTCTGTTCATTGCGCTGTAGGCCATACCTAGTTTCGATGTTCACCTAAAAAGTCATTTTTATCAGATTACAGGAATCCTTCTTTCTCCTCTTGCCTAAGAGAACCATACGGGTTAGCCTCCACGCTGCTGCCAGACAGTCCCGGTGTTATTCTGCAGTGACATTAACTCACCTCTTCAACTTTATCTTGATGATTGTAGTAGAGGCATCCTTTTTAGCTTTTCATTTTACGTAGGTCTACTTAATCAAATTTCATAATTTGTTCATTTTCCCATCCCATATTCAATCTCATTTGTTTTGTTACCAAATGACATCTGCTGACATGACTGTCTCTCGGAGACAGTATTCAGCCGGATACCGTCCATAATATATAGTAAAACATTCTTTGCTGTACACCTATTTTTAAATTACGTCACTTAGATATTTGTCATACTCCGTTCCTCGGTTTTCATTCCTGAAGCTGAACTGTAGTCTACTCTAAGCCTTTTGAATGGTGATCAACTTGGCCTTGAAGGTCCGTTACGCTGGATAGTGGTCCGAGCGTGCTTCTACTCTTCTCTACCTAATGTATATTAGTCTATGTGGTGAAACATTTGTCACCTTGCATATATGCTCATGCTTGTACACACTACTTTTAATCACCGGATCATTAAAGGATAACACTACACTTGTAGGTGCAGTGTTTGATTGAATATTAATTTTTGTTTTTAGATGAACTCAGAGAAACGACATGTATAACACTGATTCATACTTACTGCTGGAGAGCCGTCGACAATAGCTTTTGCGTTTTTTCGTAAGATAGTACAAAAAAGAAATATCTAAGAGTTGGAACAGGAAGCTTGTATTAATGCTTAACTACAAAGTGATTAGGTAAGAAATTCACTTTCGTTACAACAAACGGTTACATGTGTCATCCTTAGGTTCATTGATAAATTAATCAGTAAGCGTTAAAAAGACTGCTAAAAAAGTACTCATTGTTTCCGTGTGAACTTGGTTGTTTGTAAGGGAGAACTGCAAGACAAACAGACTGTCTGACTACAGTAGTTTACGGAATACTAAACATTTTCAAGCTGCTTCGCAACGTTTATCCTAAGGCTCTGTGAAACTCGCTCCAAATTTAATTAACTCATAAAGAATGTGAAGAAGATCAGAGGTAGTATTAGTGGAAACTGGATCTGCTAACAAACAAGTACTAATGACAAGGCAAGTGGCTCTCCGAAATATGCGGGCTTTTCGAATCGTTTCAAAATTCACCAATCTACACTCTATCAAAACATTTAAGGAAGATGGGTATACATCCTGGATAATGGACGGCTGTCAGAGAGGGGCCGATAAAATACTGATGGTGGAGATCCGCTCAGTCAATACAAGAGTTGGTGGAATGTGTAAGCCAGTGATTGGTTTTTTTAGGAGGAATGTCATAAAGCTGATGTTTCACGCGGGATAATGCGGGTTGAAATTCGAAGAAGGATGTGTCAACAGCAAAGACCTGTAGTCGCATCTATTTTAAACCGTTTCCATGCCCATATAACAAGCTCCTGTTTGCTCAACATCGATTTAATGCCTTGGATATCACCTATATAAATAAAAACAGACTAATGATATTTCGAGTAACGTAGTACAAGTTGTCGCAAACTTATGGGGCAATACATTGTGATCCTGATTTTTCTATGCTGCTCCACTTCATTTTCCGATTCTTCTTATGACTGACAGTAACAAGGAATTAAGAAAGTAATCATGGAAATGACTAAGTGGTTAATGACTTCAAAAAATGTGAATAGATATGTGGTCTGTTAATATAAATACAAAAGTGCTAATACGATCGTAACTGTCCCTAGATGGATATGAGTGTTACAGGCACCGCGCGAATGACCTTTGAGGATAGATACTTGCAGTCTTCGAAATAAAACCAAACTGTTTCAGATAAACTAGACCACATACAAAACAGAATCAAGTGGTTTCAAATTTTGTTGATAACAAAATGTCAAGGAGCTGTAAAATTATTACTGTGTTAAACAAAATGTATTAGATAAATATGGTACAAATCTTCATATATGAGGTTTTCGGCGTCCAAACACGACGAGCACCGTAGTTTAACCCCAAATTAGTTCTTAGTTAACAAAATGCCAATTCAAACAAGAAATATACAACAGTCTAAAGAAACACAAATGGTCTACTCACAACGAAGTGCAAAATGGTATACAGAGTACAACCTTAGTCTTTAAATGTGGAGATATTAGAAGTAAAAATGAGTGTATGATTTATTAAGTGCTAGAAGTCAAAATCTCTATCTGATTCTTCTAATAAGCAGTATAAATTTTCTTCGAGCGGGTCATGTACTGTAAAATTTTTGGTAATTATTCTTATCATATCTTAAACTGCCACATCTTAGCTTGATTTATTCATCACATAATATCATTTAAGCTCATAGTTCAAATACCATGATTCTAAAGTCGGTCGAGATTTCCGGATGCCCAAAGTAAGGTGGCAAACGCCTTGTTGACGGACTTGGAAAATCATAAATGCTTGTGATTAGGCAAGATACTATGCCGTGAGAATCCACGCATATAATCATCCACACGCCGAGTTTAATAATTCCATGTGACGACAGGAAAGTAAGAAAACAAGAGCAGAGCAACAGTTTAGGCATCTGAAATACGAAGCATATTTCGATATCGATATCTCTGGTTATCAGCTTAACTAACTGGGGATCATGCACGTACAACCGAATGTATCACGATGCCGTGCCCAGTGGCTAAAGTTTATGACTGTGTATCATCAGCCTAACCAGCTGACTTGAAAATTAAGTTGACGAAAGCTAGGGTTTAATAATTAAGGAAGATTATTTGCCACCACACCACCTTATATAAGAGAGCAGATCATCACTATTGCTGATATATTCGCTCGCTGTTTACCCAAGATTCAATCACTATTAGGAATTTTCATTGAAAAACTGTAGACCACATAAAATATATCGTTTACATGACAGTTTCGACAGGCTTTGGAACATACTTGGAGCGAGACTGAAGTGATGTTCGGAGTCATAAGGTGGTCGTAAAGAAACCAACAGTTTCGAATATCTGTATGAGTGTGAAATCAACCCCACCCTATAAGTTTCTGCAAAAAGGAAGCTGAACCTGTGATGCAAATATGAGAAGATATCCAAATTTTCTTGTCAACTTTCAAGTATTCAGAGCAAAGAAAATTATATATTCGTTATTGGTTTGGTAGTGCGAATAGCCTGAATGTTGAAAAAATGTGGTATTTTTGATGGTTGCGTTACTTTATCTGTCAGATGGAGGCCGTCAAGGTCAGGCGACCAAAATTAAAGGTATTTTCCGTTTTTTTATTTTACTTTTAGACTGCTGAAATAATCGCTCGTTTGGAATCAATTGATGTGCCTGATGACCCTCTTCCAGTTGAGTGTGAGACGTCTGTAAATATTGAAGAAATTGTTCCCCAACCTGAAGCTGTTACAGAAACTAATGATGATCCTATCCTCTCATGTGAAACTGCCTCAGAAACCGCAAAAGATGTGCCTACTTACCCCGTATTGCAGGAACTTTTTCCTAATGACCATCTGGAACAAACACAGTCAGTTAACTCTGATATCAATTTTCCAGTTGCAGAAGAAACCAGTGAGCAGCAAGTAGAGGCTTCTGCACCTGACTTCATTGAGGATGTGACTGAAAGGGACAATTCACTTTTTGATGCTTTTCCTGCCCCACTCAGCTCAGAACACCTTAGGAACTTGTATATTAATCGTTCTGTGGATAAGCTAAACGACATTGAACAGAATTTTTTGGTGGTAAGCTGTCATTCTGTCTACCATAGCTTCTCTAGGAGTCTGAGTTTGAATTAGTTTTAGTTTCTCATTCGAGTGAATCTAGTCTTCCTGAAGATCCGTTCCATCTGCTTATATGCAATTACGCGGATAATTGGGCGAAGTGGTGGCAATCGATAAAACGTCTAGAAAAAGTCCTGAAGGAGTCTTTGGAAATGGAACAGTCGGCGTGGGTAGTAACAAAAGTCAAGCAAAGTGCTGAGGTAAGTTCTTTTTTTTGCAATTTGTCAGTTATTATTTCAATGTCAAATCAAAAGGAAAGGTTTTTTAAAAGCGCACATTAAAGAAATTCGGCATTTTGAATTATTTAATATGGAGCTAATTTTATATGTTATATTTACACAGTATCTACACCCTTAATGTGCAATGATGGAGATTTGTCTCATTAGCTTAGGCTGATTGGTCATTCATTCTCATCTCGCCTTACCTACTTCTACCTGCGCAACAAAGTACTAACACCATGAAAAAGCTGTTTTGAGTAACAGACCATTCGAAATTTTTATGGTATTCTTGTTAGTATATGTAGATGTGCTGGTTGAGACCAGCTATTTTTATTACCTGACATATGGTCAGTCCGACAGAGACATTTTAAGGAACATCACACAAACCTGGACCATGACTGGCGTATAGTGCTGACAAATAAATGGTCACGTTTATTTATGGTTAACGTTTTCTTAGAAGCGCAATGTATTTGCCAATAAGTTGGAAAATTTGATTTGGAAATACTTTCAATGAATTATCAGGCTTCGTGTAATTGGTGTAGGAACTCGACTCCATACGTGTTAACAAGCACAAAGGCAGCATAAAATGTCGGTTGTCCTGTTAAAAGTGTGTAGTCGATAAAAATATTTGTAGCTTACTTCGAATATTCGAAGGCGGCAGCATAGAAAGGTATTCTAATTTCAATATTTATATGTATTTATTTTGGATTTTGATATGCTTTTAAATTAAGAAAACGTCGTAGCTACTATTGGGCTGTGTCAGGTAATCAGAAGTGTGCTCACCGGAATTGTTGCCTTCTGTGTTAAAGTCGCACATTAATTATACATATTAGATTAAAACACATGATATATCAGGTTATCGGACACAGTACAGTCTCTTATAAGAATATCAGACTGACTGGAATAGAGGTGTTAAAGTGAAGTTCGAACCCTCAGCCTGTTGCTCTAGAGTTGAATCCCAACGATATGCACTTTTTTTTGGAGATAATCGATTCGCAAACATTGATTCATGGCATTGAAATCAATACTGACCTGTTCACATTGCTTGTTTACAAGTCCCAACGAAATCTCATTTGTTCATTCATAAATTGTATTTAAAAAAATTGCTTTCATTCCAATAATATTTCAATGTTAAACTTTAACAGTGCAAAAAGAAATTATTTTGATTTGTTGTCATACAAGCCTTCGTCCATCTATTTGTAGGGTAAATGTCATGACAAGAAAACAGTTTATCTTAAATACGAGTATGAAAATGCTGAACTCAGTCAATCTGTGCTTAGTGAATTAACTGAAATGAACGAAGTCTCTCGTTGGATTATTTTTGAAGAGGTTCCTCTAATTGCATACAAATTGATTTTGTGCAGGTAATTATTAGTTCTTTTTTGTCGTTTTCACTTTGATAAAAAGCACTTTTATATATATATATATATTCAGCAGCAAGCCAGTACGCTGAGTTGCATAGGTTGAATTTCTTGTCTTTCACTGACACCTACTGGCACTTTATTGGCTACCATGTGAAGATCAGTTCGTATTGTATAAGCCAACTGTTTTGAAGACCGTCCTCAGTCTGTTCAGTAAAGTGATTTATAAAATAAGAGTGGTGTACGATAAAAAAAACACCCAACTCTTCCACCCTATAAACACACTAATTTATTGATTTTCAAGTGTTGGTTTTGCGGGGATTTGATTGGCTTCAAGTTAGATGACGAGTTGACATCTGTGTTAGGGAACCAGTGAGAATTATCTGGGAGTATGGGACGGCCGTTTCGTCCTAACTTGAGACGCAGCAACAACCCTACTGATGATCGAAATCTAGATCATCAGGTTGCTGGGTGAGCTGATTAACCATTCAGTCACTTGGAGACAATTGAGTGACCTGTCAATTCGCGATGAATATTCATTGGTGGCGTGTGGTTAAACAGAATAATTTCTAATGTTTAACAACATTCTATCTTCTTTCATATCAATTTAAATTGGTTAATTGTGCAGTGATGTAGCATTACCTTTAGCTGATCTACTGCTTATAAATTGGTTACCCTTAATACAGTTAGACAGAGTGTTACATATGGCTACAGTGACTAAGTCACAGCGTGAAAGTTTAATCTTAGGAAATAAATTCTGTTTTCTTTTACCTCGTAAACTGTACATCTCAAAAACTATAAGCGGTGGGGTCATTCATGTCCTTAGTATACTTGTACATCTTTTTTTGTCTTGAAACTTTTATCAGGAATTCATTGGTCTCATAAATCATTGTTTAGTGAGAAGAAATAATACATTTAATCTATTACCTTGTCATTAGCATTGAAACCTCAAACACATAGAAAAATTTTAGTTGTGTAGTAAGAATACTAGTTACACTCAGCGCATTAATTAGCTCTGGCAGTTGTACAGGACTATAATACGTAAACTATTGTTTTAAGTTGAGAGTTTAAACACCCAGACATTGCTCAATTATCAAATTTAAGGGAAGTGAATTCCTTAATATTCGTGTTTTTTCAGGTGGATACAGAAAGACAATGTTTCTTTCATGAATGCAAATTATCGGTTGGGTGTTTAGTGAACTTCACTCTTATTCCTTATTGATTGTACATCTTTAGGTGGAAAATATCAATCTAATTACCTGTTTAAGTCTCAATCCATGTATAAAAATAGCAGGATGTTTTAATAGATTAGTTGATAATTTGTGAGTCTTCATTCAGTTGGTATTTTGGACAATGTTCACAGCTTAAATCCATCACGTTGACAGTTTTACAAGATACAATCACATCATATCATATCTTTTTTGGCTAAACTTAGAGGGTTTTTGAGAAATTTATAGATTTTAATGTAACTTTTGTCTTGAACTGACAGCTGTTAAGCCTATATTGGAAACTATTGTACACTGAACACACGTTTCTTTCCTGCGTCTGGTTTTTGAAGCAATGTAAGCCTAAAGCCACACGAGGCAGTTGATTTAGGGGAATTAGATATCATATCAAAATGAATTGTCATATTTCCTAACTTTTATTGACTTGTGGTATAGCGTGACCATCGTTAAAGTTAACTTGACTCTTCTTATTAGACAAAATGTCTCATTAAAGCACTAAGTAAGATTTATCAAACAAGGTCATTGATTATTATTAAATGACCCCTTGATTGGACACTAGTCAGTAACTAGTGTGATGTCTCTAGTCCTTTCTTTGGTGCAGATTGAATTCTATCAGTCAAGTTTGCGACATGGCCACCATTCTAGGTAGCTCGCCATCACGGTGCACATTGATTTAGTGATAGATGGTTGGAGGCAATCAGCAGGAAGCATTGCCTGACCTAGGTTTCGTGCCAGTTGACACTCGTCAGTCAGCAAGGCGTATCTGCAACCTTGAAGGAACTCATATCCCTTCTGAGGTTCGAACCCGTGTCACCCAATGCTGCATTCAGAGCCCGAATAGCTCAGTGGTAACGTCTATGATTGCAGCACTGGGTGACACGGGTTCGAGTCTCAGAAGGGATATGAGTTTCTTCAAGATTGCAGATACGCCTTGCTGACTGGTGAGTGCTAACTAGCACGAAACCTCGGTCAAGCAGGGCTTCCTGTGGCCGACTGCCTCCAACTATCTAATATCATCAAATTAAATGACCTTACTGACTGAATAATAGTCGATCTAAACTGGACACAGAAGTGCATCAGTTTGATATAGTCTGTCTTTCTGGATTCAACATAGAACTTGGCACCGAAGTGCAGCAGTTCAAGTTGCCACGTTCCAAATAGCACACAAAGGTAGACTAGAAGATGAGTGAAGAGAATCAATAGAGTTTTGACAAGTATAAGAGTGAAACAGAATGAGTAATGGTAGAAAGGAATATGAAAGATTACAGAGACTTAATACATCTGCGTAAGCCATTGACAATGATTTTCAGCCATGTCACCTATTGTTTCCAGCCATTGATTTTTAGAGTCCCGAGGGCCCCAACCCGGAAGTCTGCATCTCCCCACCTGAATCAGTTTAACCGTCAAGGATTTCGTGGATTGATGCCATGTTTTTGTTGTTTGATAGAGTAATGGTGTATATACCAATGATTGATACGGGAGCAGTGCCTGCGCTAAGTAGGTCGTGGTGATTTAAACTCAGAACCGTCGTTCCTCTCATTTGACACCGAGCCCATCATCAACGTATCCGGTTTGACTCAGCTAGGACAGCCGAATCAGTTAGAACCATCTGGTAGTACATAGCATTTAATTTGTCACATGCGAATTGCATTAAGCCACTAAGACCCGACTCCATGGCCAGTGCATGAATTCCAACTTCTGCCAATTCATGACATTGTGTGACTGCTAGCCAATGTCATCCGTGGCGAGTATTTGTCCTCAGACGCGACCTGCTGCACCCTACTGGTCACGACCTCTCTAACCGATATCACCTCATGATAAAATCCTGTAACCAATCAATACTTGAACACCTATAATCAGTTAGGATTTATTACTATATGATGAATCTTCACCACTTTGTTTTATACATCATGAGAATGCGGTTAATGAATTCTCTAAAAAGTGATTTTTCCATTTCATTTCATACGGAATGTAATCTAGTAATTGAGTGAAAAAAACACAGAAATTTCAGCTACATTTTCTTCTTTTCAATTGTTTTTTTTAGAAATCGTATTGAAGAATACTTAGCAAACATTTTAACTCAATGTTCAATTTACGAGAATTTAACTCCATCACAACCAGGAATATGTAAGTTTTTTTTTTACATATAACTGATGTGATTTAATAATTTGTGTGTTTGTCCTTTTTGTTAGTTACATTTCTCCTATCTAACAGAATCATTGCAATAAACATATCCTAGAATATAGTAGATTCGTCCTATATATATAACATTTCCAGTGACTAACGCTGTCTGAGTTATCAGCGTAAACTTTGCACAAAAGTGCAGTTTTGAGCGATGTTACCAACATTCCCTAACTATTGGTTCTGAGCGTCTCGAAGACTCCAACCAGATAGATAGTCTACACCTTCCCTACATGGCTAAGACTAACTGTTGAGAACTTCGCTGACACTATTTATTTTTTTTTATTATTCCCTCGAGTTTCGAGTGGAACATGGGGCTTCAACAACACATCTCCCCCTTGTTCTATTCGCTGATGTCCTCTTCAGCTAGCTAACCCGACGATTGACCATAATCTCTCATCTCCTCCTCCCTAACACACGATCTCCTCCATGTCACCCTCGCACCGACGAACCACTCTTCGCTTCCCATTGGTATTCCACTCGAGTAATGGCGATGTCATTCGACGACCTGCTTTCTCAGCGTATGCCCGATCCATCTCCATTTTCTCCTACATATTTGTTGAGCGATTGGCTCTCGCCTGTTGGTTTGTTCCCATAGTTTCTTGTTACTAATTCTTTCTGGTCATTTGATCTTGAGTGTGGAGCGAAGGCAGCTGTTGATGAAAGTCTGAAACCTGTTGGAAGTGCTTTTCATGACTCACGCGCAGTGCGAATTTCTGACCCGTGTAGGAGGACCGATTGACATTGTTATTGTAAATCCGAATCTTGTTCCTTATGCTGACTGACTGAATGCAGAAGATTTCCAAATTGGTTTCAGGTTTATGAAGGCGTATCTTGCCTTTCCGATTCTGGCTGGTTAGCTTTGACATCTTCATCCGTGCCATCACCTGTAGTTGAAACGATGGTGGCTGCCTAGACAAGTGAAGGAGGTCACCTCTGTTAAATCTTTCCCGCTGACACAATTTCCAACTTAATTCTACCTTATCCAATTTCACTCGACTGTGATAGCTAGGCATACGGAGGCGTAAATGTCTTAGCCATTTTAATCGATGCAGCCTCACAGCCCCATCGACTCACTTTCCCTATTTACCTAACGCTACACCTAGGCTTGATATTAATTACAGCAATATAACATTTAACGCAGAAGATAAGATGCAGAGATCTATGACGAAATGTAGCTAACTTCTTAATATCTTCCACCTTCATGTCTCACGATCAGTTAGAAGGACGGGAAGTGATGCTCAGGAAGGCTTCGTGTGCTCTTGGAAGTGTGTGGGTCGTTGTTACTTCCCGGCTGCCCACACCGTGGAAGTTGATTGATTCTTCAGGTACCTGAAACAAAAAGAGGGGTAGTGTTGCGTGACCGCAGAGTCCAGGAGACAACTGCTTGAGGCCGGTCACACACGGCCTGTATGAACTGGTTTCTTGGATTCGTTCCGTATTACCGCCGGTTACGGACCATCGTGAGGTAAGTCCGGATGTACAGTTGTTGGGGTCGACCTCTTCTAACCCCCTCTCTCCAGAGTGGAGAGAGAGCATAGCTGGCATGCTGGTCATCTGAGGGAAACACCTCACTGATGTTACATCCCTGTTCCC